TTAATTTGACTGGTTCAGCTATTAAGTTTTTACCACTTAAATGATCATTATATTTAGAAATTACAGATTCAAAATGTATGTATTATTGTTTTAAAAGTTACCAATTTGTTTTACATACATATGTATTTTTCGTGTTAAAAATATTGAATTCTGTTATTACTTTCTGTTGTGCGGAATTCGAGATAATACGAGAAAATATAAATGCAAAAGAACAAGACAACAGATTTACGTGGTTCACCAATAAGTTGGCTACGTCCACGGGAAGAGGGGGAGCAGTTTTATTATGGAGAGGCAAGAACAGAATTACAGAATAGGGTTTGCCATAGCGTCTATATATAGTGCTAAACTACGCCCTAACAGGCTTGGGCCCAACATACAGAATTGACAGATAATTAAGGGCCTAATTCAAGGCATTCAACAAATCTCCACCTTGACTTGAATTCTCCAAACAGATTCTTCATACGCACTATGATAGTGCCAGGCCTCCCCCTCTTCCTCAGAATTGCCCCGCAGGGCAATTAACAACTTTTGATGTTGAGCAAGTCCAAATAGTGTTGAAACTTCCTCTGTGGAACCGGCTTTGTGAACATATCAGCAGGATTATCAGCAGTTCCTACTTTCTTCACCTTGATTCTCTTCTCACTTCTCAGAAAATGATACCTCACGTCAATATGCTTGGTTCTCTCATGATGGACTTGATCCTTGGCTAGACAAATTGTGCTCAAACTGTCACAATACACCGTAGCTTGATCATGATGCAGACCAAGATCACTAACCAGCCCTTTCAGCCAAATCCCTTCTTTTGCAGCCTCTGTCAAGGCCATGTACTCCGCTTCCGTAGTAGACAAAGTCACTGTAGGTTGCAAAGTTGTCTTCAAACTGACGACAGATCCTCCAAGGGTAAACACATATCCAGTCATCGATCTTCTTGTGTCAACATCTCCAGCATAGTCAGAATCAGAATAGCCAGTAACCAAGCACTGAGTATCACCTCCATAAATGAGACCAACGTCAGATGTACCTCTAAGGTACCGAAAAATTCTCTTCACAGCCTGCCAATGTTCTTTCCCTGGTTGTCCCATGAATCTGCTCACTACACTGACTGCATGTGCTAAATCTGGCCTTGTACAAACCATAGCATACATCAAACTTCCTACGGCACTGGCATAAGGGACTCGTGACATATACTCCTTCTCTTCTTCTGACTGTGGAGCGAACATGGTCGTGAGATGGATATTGGCAGCACTGGGGGTATCAATAGGCTTAGATGAAGACATGCCAAACCTCGCCAAGACCTTCTGAATGTAGCTTCTCTGTGACAAGAAAAGTTTCCTTCTCTCTCTGTCTCTAATGATCTCCATCCCTAGAATCTTTCGAGTGGCTCCCAGATCCTTCATCTCAAACTCAGCACTAAGTAAACCCTTCAGCTTCTGAATGTCATACTTCTTCTTTGCAGCTATCAGCATATCATCTACATAAAGCACCAGATAGATGAATGAATCATCCTTGAGCCTATTGTAGTAGACACAACAATCATATGAGCTCCGAGTATAGCCCAACATCACCATATAGCTTTCAAACCTTTTGTACCACTGCCTTGGAGACTGCTTAAGTCCATATAAGGACTTCTTCAACTTGCAGACGTGATTTTCCTTCCCTGGAACTTGGAAACCATCCGGCTGAGTCATGTATATCTCTTCCTCCAACTCTCCATGTAGAAACGTTGTCTTCACATCAAGTTGTTCAAGCTCCAAATTCTGATGTGTAACTATCGCTAGTAACACTCGGATGGAAGTATGTCTGACCACTGGTGAGAAGATCTCATTGTAGTCCACTCTCTCTCTTTGGTTGAAACCTCTAGCAACAACCCTGTCTTTATACTTGACTCCTTCTGCTGGTGATATCCCTTCTTTCTTCTTGAAAACCCATTTGCAAGTAATAATCTTTCTCCCCGAAGGCTGTATGACCAGATCCCATGTCTGATTCTTGTGTAGGGACTCCATCTCATCTCCCATAGCAGCAAACCATTTTTCAGAATCAGGGCTTAAAATGGCTTCTTTGTAAGTAGACGGCTCAGATGTATCTACCTCTTCAGCAACCTGCAGTGCATAACCCACCATGTCCTCAAAACCATACCTCGTAGGTGGCCGAACTCCAACCCTCCTTGGCCGATCTTGAGCTATACTCCGATGGATATCTGATGGCATAGATTCTGGGATATCAGTTTCTGTCTGTGGCTTTTGATCCTCCTTTTCAGGTTCTTTTAAATCGCTCTCATTCTGAATGACTTGAAACTCCACCTGTTTATCAAGACTCCCAGTTTCTGACGTAGTTGTAGGCTTCACAATGGTTCTAAGCAGAGAACTTTCATCAAAGACAACGTTCCTGCTCATAATAACCCTCTTTTCTGCTGGAGACCAGATTCTGAAACCTTTCACTCCATCTCCGTAGCCCACAAATACTCCCTTTTTAGCTCTTGGTTCTAACTTACCTTCACTGACGTGATAGTAAGCTGTACAACCAAAAGCTTTCAGATTTGAATAATCAGCAGCTTTTCTTGACCACATCTCCATAGGTGTCTTGCACTGTATGCCTGTATGTGGTCCGCGGTTAATCAAGTAGCAAGCTGTACTAACCGCTTCTACCCAGAATCTTCTATCTAGCCCAGCATTAGAGAGCATGCACCTTGCTCTCTCCAGAAGTGTTTGATTCATCCGCTCAGCTACACCGTTCTGCTGTGGTGTATTTCTGACTGTACGATGTCGAGCAATCTCTTCATCCTTACAGAATTGATCAAATTCAGACCAGCAGAATTCCAGCCCATTATCAGTTCGCAACCTCTTGATCTTCTTCCCTGTTTGATTTTCCATCAAAATTTTCCACTCCTTGAACTTCTGGAAAACTTCACTTTTATGCTTCATCATGTACACCCAAGTCATCCTTGAGTAGTCATCAATAATGGACACAAAGAATCTGCAGCCTCCCAAAGACTCAACACGGCATGGACCCCAGCAATCAGAATGGATATAATCAAGTGTGCCTTTTGTTCTGTGAATGGCCTTTGGAAACTTGTTGCGATGTAGTTTTCCAAAGACACAATGTTCACAAAACTCTAGGCTCTTAACCTTATGACCAGCAAGAAGATCCTCCTTTGACAGAATTTGCATCCCTTTTTCACCCATATGACCAAGTCTCATGTGCCATAACTTAGTCATATCCTTCTGGTGTACTTCTGATGGTGCAACGTGGGCTGAACCTGTAACCGTGGAACCTTGTAGAAAATACAAAGTACCACGCATGACACCTTTCAGAATCAGATTTGAACCCTTCCAGACCCGCAAGACTCCATCTTTTCCCGACCAGGTAAATCCCTTGCTGTCCAAAAGATTGAGAGATATCAGATTTTTCGTCATCAATGGAACGTGCCTGACCTCGTTCAATGTGCAGAAGCTACCGTCATGTGTCCTTATCTTGATCGAGCCTGTCCCAACCACCTTGCAGACAGAACTGTTGGCCATCGAGATGCTGCCTCCGTCTACTTGCTCATAAGTCGTGAACCACTCTCTCCTAGGACAGATGTGATAGGATGCCCCAGAATCGAGAACCCACACATCTGAATGATGAGTGTGCTCATCCGCAACTAGGGCAATGTCTTCTTCAGAATTGGTGTCTTCTTCAGCAACAGCAGCAGAAACTGATTGTTTTTCCGATTGCTTCTTCTTCTTTGGACAATCAAATTTCCAATGTCCCTTCTCCTTGCAGTAATTACAAACATCATCCGGCTTTACACCCTTCGACATCGGCTTATTTTTCTTTCCACCGTTTTTCCTTCCCTTTCCGCTACTGGTGAATAGACCGGAAGGTTGTATGTCCGTACTTGTGCCGTTAGCCTTATGCCGTAATTCCCTGCTATGAAGGGCCGATCTGACTACTTCCAGCGACACAGTATCTTTCCCAACAATGAACGATTGAACAAAATTCTCAAACGACATTGGGAGAGATATTAATAGAATCAGGGCAGCATCTTCATCCTCTATCTTCACATCGATATTACGCAATTCTAATAACAAAGTATTCAATTGCTCTAAATGTTCCCTGAGTTGTGTACCTTCAGCCATTCGTAAACCGAATAGACGTTGTTTCAGAAGCAGCTTGTTGGTTAGAGATTTTGTCATGTACAAACTCTCCAGCTTCAACCACAGACCAGCAGCAGTCTCTTCATCCGAGACCTCCGTAATGACGTCATCCGCGAGACACAGCATGATCGTCAAGTGCGCCTTTTCCTCTAGAATCGCCATCTCAGGAGTAACGACGACGTTCTTGTCTTTCGACAACGGCGCCCAGAAACCTTGTTGTTTCAACAAAGCCCGCATCTTGATCTGTCATAAACTGAAATTGTTCCTCCCTGTGAATTTGTCGATTTTCACGTTCAAAGCAGACATCTCGAATTATCCAAAAAACACCGATTAACCGAGAGGCTCTGATACCAATTTGTTGTGCGGAATTCGAGATAATACGAGAAAATATAAATGCAAAAGAACAAGACAACAGATTTACGTGATTCACCAATAAGTTGGCTACGTCCACGGGAAGAGGGGGAGCAGTTTTATTATGGAGAGGCAAGAACAGAATTACAGAATAGGGTTTGCCATAGCGTCTATATATAGTGCTAAACTACGCCCTAGCAGGCTTGGGCCCAACATACAGAATTGACAGATAATTAAGGGCCCAATTCAAGGCATTCAACACTTTCCAAACGTCTATTCCAGATTCGACATATTCGTTTAAAAAACAATGATTGCAGAGCCTTCTTTCTAAAAATAGTCCAATGGTTGTTAATTATAGTAGTGCCACTCTTTGTCTCCTCATTCTTTTTTCACATAATCTCATTAGTTGTCAACCTTCTAAAAGTTTTATCACCAATTCCTCCATTTCCTGGATCAATAGCCGCTCCTATGTAGTGAATTCCACAGATGGAGCCACACTGACACCCAGAATTCATGGTTGATAACTTACACCAAATCAGGCAAAGTAAAAAAGATGTATAGTTAACATGTCAACATGTGAACTCTCGTATTTGGAGTGCTTACTTGTCAGTTGGAATTAAATTTGAGTGTCTGTTGATGTATTTGCCTCACTTTTTTTTCTAATCGAAAATGGATTACTCTCAGGTAAAAGTTCTTTTGTGTGGCTAGGCCCATATCCAATAGTGTTGATCACAGAACCTGAACATGTAAAGGAGATTTTGACAAAGAATTATGTGTACCAAAGGCAAACTCATGCCAATCCATTTGCAAAGAAATTGGCTTTAGGTCTTGCGAAGCTCGAGGAAGACAAATGGGCCAAACACCGAAAGATCATCCAACCTGCTTTCCAAGTTGAGAAGTTAAAGGTAATATTCACTTCATATTCTTATAACTAATAGATTTAGCGAACATCGGTAAATTTTCATGCCTAAGACTTAAGATAGCATATTGAAATGTCTTAACATTATGAAGTTGTCAATTTATATCCACGCGTGCAATAACGTACAAACAACGTAGCTCTCCTACTAATAACAAGTACTACTTTTACCTATTGATTTGTTTTGTACAGCATATGCTGCCAGCATTTTATCAGAGTTGTAGTGAAATGATAAGCAAATGGGAGGAAATTATTCCAAAGGAAACACCATTTGAGCTCGATGTATGGCCAGACCTTCAATTAATTACCGCTGAAGTCATTTCTCGAACGGCATTTGGGAGTAGCTATGAAGAAGGGAGAATAGTATTTGAACTTCAGAAAGAACAAGCTGAGTATGTAATTGACATAATTCGTTCAGTTTATATACCAGGAACAAGGTACAACCATTTATTTGTGAAATTTCTACATAACATCGAAAATTATATGTTCATTACTTTCTACTAAAAACACTTTTATTGTTTGCTTTTAAATTTGTTTTGTTAGGTTCTTGCCTACTAAAAGGAACAAAAGAATGCTGGAAATTGAAAATAAAGTCCAAACAACGATTAGAAGTATCATCGACAAAAGATTGAGGGCAATGGAAGCAGGGGAGGCTAGTAAAACTGACTTATTAGGCATATTACTTGAATCCAATATGAGAGAAATTAAACAACACAGAAGCAATGATTTCGGAATAACAACAGCTGAAATGATAGAAGAATGTAAGTTATTCTATTTTGCTGGGCAAGAGACCACTTCAGTGTTGCTCGCGTGGACAATGATTTTGTTGAGCCTACATCCAGAGTGGCAAGCACGTGCCAGAGAGGAGGTGCTGCAAGTCTTCGGAAATGAAAAACCAAATTCGGAAGGGCTAAGTCGCCTCAAAATTGTAAGTACTTTCCGCCAGTTGATTATGTAAGGCAACTTAAAATAGCCCAAGATCACTGCATAGATCGAATTTTAAAGATGAAAAACAGTGTTAAATCAACGATAATATAAGTAGTTTTTATATCGTTTTGCCCATCATTAATGCCAAATTGTTCCCACTGAGATCAGATAAACCACATTTTCTACTCGGAGACTAAAAGATCTCGAAAAGGTATGACATCGACATTTTGTAAGAAGTAAAACTAACTAACTTATACCGATGCGGGTCAAAATTGGGTGTCAACAAATCCCACCGACTATGTTAACTTCTGTTAAGAATGAATCCATCACATGACCTAGACCATCCAGACGCTTTACAGCTATTTTGGTGCCATTACTCAGTGTTCCTTCATATACTGAGCCAAATCCTCCTTCCCCGAGCTTTCTGCTGAAATCTTCAGTTATTATTCTTAGCTCATTGTAGGAGAACCGAGTTAGCATTCCCGTAAAGTTTGGTTCGAGATCCATAAAATCCCCAGACTTTGTGGAATCCTGTGTCCTCTTTTTGAAGATAACAAAGCAAGCAGTGATACTTAAAATTATCCCAAATATAGCAGCAAGAGTAGATCCGATTATCACTGTGTGACGTCTTGATTTTTTTCCTCCAGACTGATTCTGTGTGTTTGAGGAATTCTGCACCTTAAGAAGTACTCTCTTGTGCCATCTGTCATCGGTGTCTACGAGGGAAAAGACCTCATTCAGTAATAAACAAGCCCCAGTTCTAGTCTCATCAACATCATATCCGAAGACAACAGCTTTGCAGGAACAGTTTCTTAGACAGGCCCTTTTGCAATCTTCCAACGTTATCCCCCCAAACCAAAATTTGCTCGGAATTGTTTCACGATTGTACTCAAATGCAAAATATGTTGTATTTTTTAGCTCTACGAAACTATGATACTGGGAAGAGTTGCAGTAAATGGATGTCAGTTGTAAACATCCAACATCTTTTTTCCTCTCATCTAATGACCTAAAGAAATTTTGATCTGACGGACAACTACATTGGCCGTTACTTGTACAAATGCCATATCTTCCACACACCATTGGATAACCACAATTCTGTGCGTATACATTAAGCAAAAGATCAGATATGTCTTTCCAATTATATCTGTTCTCATCCCATTGGTATGCCCTGAAGTGTCCATCAGGCCCAAACTTCATGAATTCAGCTGGTGATGTCCGAGAGTATGGCGGAGCAGTAAGTGCTTGACCATCAAAACTGAAATACGTACTAGCTGGCCTTCTTGAAGTAAAGTAAACCTGAGGTGGATCGGAATCGATGTAAGTGGTTAGGCTTCTATTGAGAATAGCAAGAGAAAGCAAACCTTGACTCAGATTGGTTTCTGAAACGCAAGCCACGAGCTTCCTCCCAGCAACCAAGCTCTGCCCCGGGAGCAAAGAATCTGTAGGATGATCGAATGACTGCCAAACTATGCGATTGGCTTTGTCAAAGAGCACGAGATTCCCCATTTCTGTTAAGGTTAAGCCAGAAACAGATTTTCCAGTAGTATTAGTGGACCAAACAAAAGTTCCATCAGAGTCTGCCAAGACCAAGTTTCCATCTAGGCCTAGCTGCAAGGTTGCATTGACTTTCACTGGACGGTCTCGATTAGCAGACCAAACCAACTGGGGATCCATTAACTTTATTTCAGTAGAAACGATATCGGGGAATGCAATGAAGATCCCGAGAAGGCATTCAACACTTTGGTCATCATTGCAGTAGAAGCCACAGAAGTGGTACTTATTTCCATCATTTTCACTCACAAGGATGGGTGTTATTCCATATGAGGAATCTGCATCTAACAAATACGGCCTGTTGGTCCATGAAGTGGAAAGTCCAACAGTAGAATTCAAATAAATGGTGCCGCGAAATCTGGGATGAAGCAAACAAAAAGTGGAGACAAATGATGAACAGCACAGGAAAACACAACCTCTGCTCTGCAATCATTTCTTACTAACAAAATGTTTCAAATCTAACCCTTTTTTGGTGTTCTAATAATGCCTTTCTTTTGGGAATGCGTCTCTTTGGTCAATACAAGAGAGCGGCCACACAAAAATACTTTCATTCCATGTGGTATTATTTTTTTACAAAAGTTTTGTCGACTTTCAATCAGGGGCGGACCTACAAGCACAGATACACGTTCGATGATACCAAACTCAGTAGCTTTTGCTCAAACACTATATATCCATTCGTACAAAGAAATTCATAAATATTATTGTCATTACTCATATGATACTTTTCACAAACATAAAGTCTGGATATTCCCTTTTTCACGTGAAGAATGAATATGATATAAATATTTACAGCGAATCCTACACGAAATCACTTGTGTCCCCTTTTAATATTTTAAAGCACAGTGTGAATACAGACTAATGTCTTCCTTTTTCCTATTATTTTAATGGAAACTGGACTTCTTTATTCTTACCACTTCCAGGTTGCTTCTTTATTTGCTACTCTCCCCGTTTGTCATGTTGCGCTACGATTAATTTTAAAAGTTAAATTAAATCACATTAATTCGATATTTTAAAATTATATGAAAAGTACTATAAATTACAATTTTTTGCATATTATGAAAAAATTCATTTTAAAATGTTAGTCAAACTTTTATTAGTTTGACTCAAAACATAAAAACCATGACAAAAAATATTGGACGGAGGGGAGTATAAAATAACTAAAAAAATGAAACCCTCCAAAGCAGAAACTGTTTTTAAGTTTTTTATTAAGGCAAAAAGTTTCATCTCCTACGATACCCATCCTTCTTAGAAATAAAGGATTTATATTACTATGAAATAAGAAAATGAGAATCAAATATAAATAATAATATAATATTGAAGACAGAGAAAAAAATTCCTTTTTAGACTGTGAAATAGAGAATTGAGTTAGAGTTGATTGTGTGGGGAAAAAAATAGAGAACTCTATATTTGGAGTATAAATTAGAGGGTAGAGTAAAATGAGCATCTTATTTTTTTGTTAACAAAATTGTATTTATATAAAATTTAATTATAAAATATTTAAATTGATTAGGTGACTTTCTAAATGAAATATCAATTGTTGAGTAACTTTATAAGTAAAATACAGTAAAACGTCTACAAGTTAATACTTGATAAATTAATAATCTCTCTAAAATAATATTTTTCTCCGGTCCCAACTTGGTCAAATGAAAAAAATCACCAATTTCGATAAGATAGTAAGATAATATATTTTCAGAAGATCTCTATATAAAAATATGGTCCCATTAATATCATAAATTAATAATTCTTTAAAAGTACAAATATATCTAAAGACAATTTAGTGAAATATGATTCTATTGTGTTCTATTTTTTTATAGGGAAAATGGTCTGATATACCCCTCAACATTATCATTTGGAGTTGATATACCCCTCGTTATGAAAGTGGTTCATATATGACCTTACCGTTATACAAACGGCTCACATATACCCCTGCCGTTACAAAATGGCTCACATATACCCTTCATTTAACGGAAGTTAAAAAAAATAGTTTTAAATGTATATTTATTACTTTTAATTTTTTAAAAAAATTATCTAGGGATATATATATATGATTCTTCTATCAAAGTTCAAGGTATATTTTAATTTTTTTTAATACATAAATTATTTTTTGACTTTTTTTATTAGAATTATTTGAGTTTCTTATTCTTATTTTATTTTTTCTTTCATTCCTTTGTTTAAAGAAAAAAAATTAAACTATTTTTTTTGTCTATATTGTAATTTGATTTTTGTATTTGAAGAAAAAAATTTGGTCATCTACAATAAGTTTTACAAGAATATTAGTGAAATATTAATAAATTTGATTATCAAAATAATAATTCTAAATTAGTCATTGAAAAAAAAGTCAAAAAAAAATATGTTTGACGAGGATTAAAGTTACTCATATGGGATTATATATTGTAGAAAAAATAATAAAAAGTTAGATTAAAATTATCTTTTTTTTTTCATTTCCGTTTGAGGAAAAGGGTATAGGTGAGCCATTTGTTTATATGTAGGGGTATATATGAGCCACTTTGATAACAATGGGTATATCAGCTCCAAATGACAAAGTTGAGGGGTAGATCAGACCCTTTTCCCTTTTTTATATATACTTAAATCTAGTTGAAGTTACTTATTACATCCACGAGCTCCGGTATTATCTTTTCGAACTGCACCATAAAATTGTGAAGAATTTTTAGATGCGATAAGTGTTTCTTTATGCGTAAGTGGTTCCAAAGGTATAGTATCAACTTCAACTTTATCATCAACATTGTTTTTTCCTATTGTCTCTTGCTGAACTTTTGTTATCCAAACAAGGATTGCAAAATCGATAGCATCCAAACATTTATCTTTGCTATATCAGTTTGTCCTACTTTCATAACCTGCTAATTCTTACGATAAAATATGTTCGATAATATATCTTGAAAGCTCTTATTATCACAGCATCACAAGGTTAAAATTAGTAAGATATAATAATTTTGATGTATTCGTTGTACTTTATGTATAATATTCTTTATATGTGAACTCAATAAATATGATACATAAATTAGTAAGATACAATTATTTTGATATAGTCAAAATTAACCTTCATCAAATCTCAAATCATTGTTTAAATGAATAAATATTAATTTATCGATTAAATAATATCTCTATAAAATAATAAAATTTCATAGTCCCACCTATATTAATTTATAGAGGTTTTACTGTAGTTATAGTTAGGTGACACTGAGGTTATGAAAAGAAGTTGAGTAACTTTGTGTGAAAAAACTATTAGTTAAGTTACTTTTTATGAAAAAAAAGATATTGTCATTAAGTGACTTTAAGGCGTTATAAATAAAAATTGAACGACTGTATATACAAACAAAAAAATAAAGAAAACAAGAATGCTTGATTATTTGTTGAACAAGGGGAAAATGACTGAAATCATGTTGAGTGTTGATTGTATATTAATGTCTTAAGTAAATATTAAAATAAAAAATTCTTAAGACTAATGTATTTATAAAAATAAAAAACTCTTGATCATGTTTCATGACATCACAGTAAAAAAACAAAAAAAAATTGTAATTGGTTGGCATGCTTATAACAACCCAAATTTTTAAATTTTCTAGTCATTGATAACGACCTTGCACTAATATTGTAAGGATAAAACATTTCTCCGTTTCAATTTGTCTATCTGATTAATCACGAATTACAGTCAAACATTATATTTTTTCGTAAAATAATGAAGACATTGATCTTAGTATAGAAGTTCCTATAAAGATAGAAAAATAAAGTGAAGTAGCCATATTCATACTAGTTGTGGAAATGGATTATGTTCAATTTATAGTAAAAGCGTCTTGTTCTGTTATAGCGATTACTCTGTTGTTGTGTATATGGAGCGTTCTGAACTGGATTTGGTTCAGGCCGAAGAAATTGGAGAAGCTGCTGAAAGAACAAGGTGTGAAGGGCAATTCGTACTCGATTTTGTATGGGGACACAAAAGAACTTTCCATGAGGATTAAAGAAGTTACATCCAAATCCATGAGTGTTTACGATGATGATATAGCACCAAGATCGTTGCCTTTCTTTCTTGACACCATCAAGAAATACGGTATGTACATCCTACCCTTTTCAGGCCATAGGTCGCCCTACTGGTGTTATTATCCTGTGTAGGTTGTTTTTTTTCTTTTTTGGAAATAAGGTGTGAATATTACCAGAACAAGTCAAAGTAATACAAATTAGGTAGCATCTACACTCTTAATTCCCTTCGTTGAAGAGTGTTAAGAAAATCTAGATCTCAGAAAAACTATAGCAACTAGCTATTTACAACCTATCGCATACCTTATGTTGTTGTTGAGATGGATAGAGTTGTTTCGGTATTTTCCCATTTAGTCTTATAGCATTTGCTTCTTTGTGTGATGTGTTTTTGAGAAAAATACCTTTAGTATCAGAGCAGTAATTTGTGTTTGACCAATGTTTTGAAAGTAGTTTTTATGTAAAAGTTACCTTTTTCAGCTTTTTCTACTCGTGAAAAATCACTTATTTTCGCGTAAAAGTTTGGGGAAAAACCCCTGTTTCGATTTGGAAGTTAACAGGGGAATGATCTGTTTTCAGGGAAGAAATCATTTATATGGTTGGGTCCAAAACCACTGGTGTTCATCATGGATCCTGATCTCATAAAAGAAGTATTCACAAAAACATACATTTACCAAAAGACGAAAACAAATCCATTGACCAAGTTACTTGCACAAGGACTAGTAAGAGAGGAGGGAGACAAATGGGCTAAACACAGAAAAATCATCAATCCCGCCTTCCATCTAGAGAAACTAAAGGTTTGTAACTGCAACGGATTTTGTTTACGTTTGTGTCTCTCTTCATTACTCGTCTCTTAACCATTTCGTAAACAGCATATGCTTCCAGCTTTTTATTTGAGCTGTACTGAGATGCTGAGTAAATGGGAAGATGTTGTTTCGGTTGAGAGATCACACGAGATAGATGTATGGCCTCACCTTCAGCAATTGACTAGTGATGTGATCTCTCGAACAGCTTTTGGCAGTAGCTATGAAGAAGGTAGACGAATATTTGAACTTCAAACAGAACAAGCTCAGTATTTCATTGAAGCTGTACGCTCCGTTTATATCCCAGGGTGGAGGTAAATTGATGTTGTCATACTATAGTCATTGTACTCGAATACAAAATCTCGTTCACTTATAGCTAGATTTCTTATTTATTGAACTATATCGTAGTTTTTTGCCAACAAAGAGGAATCGAAGAATGAAGGAAATCGAGAAGCATGTTCAGGCTACAATTAGAGGAATTATTGATAAAAGAGTGAAGGCAATGACAGGAGGAGAGGCGAATAACAAGGATCTACTTGGTATATTGCTCGAATCAAATTTTAAAGAAATCAAACAACATGGAGACAAGGACTTTGGACTTAGCATCGAAGAAGTCATTGAAGAATGCAAGTTGTTCTATTTTGCTGGACAAGAAACTACATCGGCGTTGCTTGTATGGACTCTAATTTTGTTGTGCAGACATCACGATTGGCAGACACGGGCCAGAACAGAGGTATTGCAAGTGTTTGGGAGTCGGAAACCAGATTTTGATGGACTGACTCATCTAAAAGTAGTAAGTATTATCGTTCAGTAATGCTTAAATCAGACGAAAATTGCATTGTAGTTCAACTGTTTGATGTTATATATGCAGGTGACAATGATCTTGTACGAATCGTTAAGGTTATACCCTCCAGTAACGACAGTTACACGCCGGCTTAATGAAGATGCTGTACTAGGAGATATATCTCTACCAGCAGACGTGCTACTCTCATTACCAGCGGTCTTATTACACCACGATGAAGAGATATGGGGTGAAGACGCAAAGAAATTCAATCCAGAGAGATTTAGAGAAGGCGTTTCAAGTGCAACAAAGGGTCAAGTCACTTTCTTCCCGTTTACATGGGGTCCTAGAATATGCATTGGACAAAACTTCGCTATGTTAGAAGCAAAGATGGTGTTGGCTATGATCCTACAACGTTTCTCATTGGATTTATCCACATCTTATACTCATGCTCTTCATTCCGTTATAACTACGCAACCCCAATATGGTGCTCCACTTATTTTACACAAACTATAGTTTGTACTTGTAAGCAGTGTCTTGTTATATGTTAAGAGAGAGTTCAAACATGATTAATAAAGGCTTGTAGAACTGCCTATTGTTTGTTTTAGAGTTTCAAGTGTGCAGATACTGTATATGGAAAATCTACAACATCCAAGTAATTTACTTTACTATTGGGTTTGGGAGAAATGGGGAATTTCTAGTAGAGAAGTGTGTTGGGGTGATTAATACCAAGGATTCTATCTCGAGCAAGTTGAGATCGACTATATGAATCATCACTTCATCATTTACAAAACCAAATGATGAAAACAAGTTCAAGTATCTATGCAAGCCTATCACTAAACTCGTCATTCAAGTTATATTGAGTTTTTAAAAAAGCTTTAACTCTACGGGCGTTCTATTATCCCACAAATGTGTTGACAAAAGGACCATTTTAAGTCATTTTCTCACCTGACAAGTGTTGGAAAAACGTGGATAAACACAAAAGTATATATGGTCAAAGTAATGGAAATAAAATGGGAAAATAATGACACCAAGAATTTTACATGGAAACCCTTCTAAATAAAGGAAAAACCACGGGCCAAGAGGAGCAACTGATATCAGTATAGTAAGAAATTTTACACTGTATAGTCACGAATTCAATATTTAAAGTGACTACTATACACTCAAAAGGAACAATACTCTTTTGGTTTTCAACTTGCTCTTTTGTATAATCTATGAAATATCTCATTTTGCTCTCAAAGTGATTTTTTCTCTCTAACTTCGTGTGTTATACAAATGAGCAAGAATCCTCTATTTATAGAAGGAAAAAATCATACCTATATCACTAATGACATAGGTAAATATAGCAAAGTCAAAAAGGGTTTGCAAATCTTACCAATTTGTCAACTACCAAATTTTTATTTTCAACTCTTATCACTATTCATTTTTAGCAATTACCTGTATCAATTGAATAGCAAAAGTTGACCAAAAAAATGGGGATGGACTCAACAGAAGAAGTGTAAGCATTACCTAGTATTGAACATCTTTCTTTACTTTTCTTTTTGTTTCTCATTTCTCAGCTTTTCATGTCTCTTCGATTTCTTGGTCAAGCGATAGTGAAGGGGAGACCATGGGCTTCATTCTTTACTATTTTTGGTAAAAAATTTTGGAGAAATAAGGAATTGAAGGTTAACAAGTTAGGTTTTTCCTACATTATTTGAAAAGGATCATATTTTTAGAAGAAATTAAATTTTATCACAAAAATATCTTGATTCCTCAAAACTAAATGAAATTAAGAAGAAATTAAGCCTTGAACAATTTCAAATTAAGTTTTTCGATCGGAGATTAAAAGCAAATAGTTTTTGAGGAAAGATGATGAATTCATCCGAGAGAGTTCCAGCGGCTCTTATGAGCTTGTGTTTGGAAAGTGTTAGGACCGTAAATAAGCAGGTGTAAACGCGGAAGCTAGCAAAGTACACCTCGAAAGACCACGAGTAAGAAGACAACGAGAAATATACCAAAAGACACAAAGATTTAACGTGGTTCGGTCAATCGACCTACGTCCACAAAGGAGATGAGCAATCCACTATAAACATGAGAGTACAAAATACAAAGGGAAACAACCTCAACCAATTCACTCGGAATACATGAGAGGTTCACAAATTCTACCTCTAACCAAAACTCTCAAAGCCCTTAAAACTACATTGTAAATGCTAATTAAGTTAGAAGGAACATGCCTCTATTTATAGAGTCCTAAACCTTTTCCTACCAAAAAAAGAATAGTCAATTTAAAACCTTTTCCTAAAAGGAAAACCTATTTATGGTAAGAAATCAGGGCAAATAAAACCCAACAGAAAGATGATGAATTTAAATAAAATACATAATTAGTAAAGAAAAGAACTGAAACGTGGCACCTTTTAATTGGTATTTAGCACAAAAATAGACCTTTATGTGCGTACGCGTGTTCACAAACCAAGTGAGAAAATGGGTAAAATTAGTATTTTACAAAGATATTCAATATTTTAGTGGGGTAATAGAATTCCCGCAAAGTTAAGTTTATCTTTTTAAAATTCAAGAAAATTTTGATAATGACTTTATGTCTTTTCTGAAGAAAAAAAAACAGTGACATGTTTGCACGTTAAATACATAACGAATTTATTTGAGTTAATCTTGATGGTTACAAAAGTCAGACTGCATATTAAAAGTTCATATGGTGCAATAAATTTAGCAATTTATACCATGCTATGCAAAAACTAGCAGAGCATGGTATTAAAAGTTGATCAAATTCTCACAACTTTATAATATATGCTATTAAAAGTTGATAAATTCTCGATATGTTTTCAGAAATACAACGCTAAATCTTATTGCGTTTTCAGATATTGATGCAACCCCACTGCTTCAATCAAGCAACAATAAACTCTCAGTGTATATTTGCTCGAGAATGAATTACCCCGACCATGGATATCAAGATCCTTCAGTTCCCGGTTCTTGTTGTGACGAAAAGATGAAATCGAAAAATCTAACCATAAAGAACACCAAGTTTAACGTGAAAAACCCTTCAAACCGAAGGTAACGACCACGGGATCGACAAGATCGGAATTGCTTCACTATACCAATAAGAGGGTTACAAATATTCTTCTAATGGCTACATAACAAGTGCCAAAAGAGAACAAACAATAGAAACACCAACAAAAAGCTAAATCACAACGAATTCCTCCATTCACGACTCTGTTTTACTAAACTAGTTCAGAATCAGACAATACCACTATGAAATAATTAATGATTCAATCATTTCATAGCTGTGTTGTTTGGACTATGAACCAGTATGGTAAAACAGAGTCATGGATGGAGAAATTTGTTGTAGATCTGAAAAGTGAGATTAGCGATGCTATTGGGTTCACAAGAAATGAAAAATTTCTGGTAGTGTTATATCCTAGATATCTTTTATCATGTGATCCAGAGAGCAAAGAATCGAAGAATCTTGATATCACTGATGATTCGTCCTTATTGAGTAAATACGTTGAATGTTCATGTTCTTTGATTAAAGCAGAGGAGCTACATCTAAAGCTAAAGAAATAACTAAGATTCAGTGTTGTGTTTATGAAAGCTTATTATGTAGGATAGTGTTGGAGATCCATATGGAGAACAAAGAAAACACAATAGAAACTAAAGAATGATTGTTTCAATTTATTCATCTAAATACATAAGAATACAAAGGTCTTTATTTATACACAAGAAAAAATATTCTACATTTAATGTAAATTATACAAATTAATGTGCATAATATTCTTATTGCTCAGGTTGCATAAATTAGTTTCGATATTAATTACAAGGTTATAATTTTGAAGTAATTTTGCTCGTAAATCAAACAATTCCTAAAAATCAAATTTGATATATAGTGTAATGTCACGATTAGATACTACCCCTAATAGTAACACAATATTTGGAGTCACTAGTAACCTCAAGTTAACCCATGACCTGCCTTGATACTAAAAATCATACATATAATAACATAATATAACTACCATTACAGAAGTTAAATTGAGATAAATCTAAAATAACTTAATAGTCAAAATAGAATTCATTTGAACAAATCATAAAATTGAAATTATTGTCTCCAATTGACATTAAACTCGATAGGCCAATCAAAAATTGGCTCGTGAACGATACACGTTGCTTATCCATGATCAATGTTAGTCATTTAAGTATTTCGAGGTCTATTTATCTATTTTGTACATTTTAGCAAACTTAGAGGATCAAAAGTTGTTCAAAACTATAAATATGGAACCATTTTGTCATTTCTCGTATAATATATATATATATATATATACTAGTTCTCGGAACGTGCATCGCACGTTTGTCCCCTAATTGATATTAGAAAATTTTAATTTATATAGCTAAAGCTCATATCTAAGTCCTTTCATATGTATGTTTAACATAAGAATACAACTCTACATAAAATATAACATGAAAATCTTATGTTAAATGTTGGAGGTTTGATATATTAAATACTTCATGAAAAATAAATATTTTATTTTATCAGAGGAATAAATATATTTTAATTACTAAACATAAGTTTTAATAATAAAAAAAAGAAATTGTCTATAAAAAAAGATACGTATAAAGAAAAATATTACAAAATATTTGGACGATATACCATCAAATTTATAGAAGAAATTACAATTTCAAACGGAAAAAAAAAGAAATAAATAAAGACATGACATCCATATTAAAAGACATCACATTAAAATATATAGACAAAAATATATATTTTCATACTAATTAAATTACATTTTATTAGAAGTAGACTTACTCTAGACAAAACATGACTTACTCTAGACGAAACATATCATATGTATAAAAAACTATAATCATATAACAATAATAAATAAGATAAACAGAAAAGAAGGCATGAATATGTTATATTTCTTGAACTATAACAATTAAGTACATGAATTTTTTAAACATTTGAGATTACATATAAAAAGGAAAAAGTACAAATATGTTGATTTAAAAAGATAAATGATTATCAAACAATGAAAAAAGACATAATTATTATTCTATGGAATTTAACATGTTTACCCTCAAAATAATTAATGATAAATACAAAATGTAATTACCTTTACTATATATATCCTAAAAATAGAAGAAAGGTTGAATACAAAAATACAGTAATCAACTACGAAGTTATATTTAAAAACTCAAAACGATGGAGATATGAAAAATAAATATTTACTTACAACTTCATATTGGAGTATATTCGTCTTGTAACTGTCATAATTTACATATTTCTCAACAAAAATAAGATGAATATGCATGAAATTTTAAAGAATACAAATAAACAAAATAGTAAGAATTTTTATAATTACAAACTGGTAATGAAAATTTTACAAGGAATGTAGACTAACCTACTCTAGAATGCAAGATGATTACAAACTTGAATAACACAAGGAATATAAATAATATGGTGGGAGTGTGTTTGATAGACTCTTCATTACCCCCACTTATCTTACAAATTAAAATTGAAAGGTTATTAAACTCTTCATTATCTACATTTAGTTAGTACATGAATATATGATGCATTAAGATCTTATTTGATGCATGAATTTAAATATAACATTTACTTAATATTTAATAATTAAATAGATATTAATATTAATTTATTTTAGAGGTAAAATAAGGGTAAATGGTAATTCAACTTTGGGGTTAGGAACTTCTCACTTATTAGAGCCGTCAATATGGGCTAGGCCCGTTGGGCCGGCTTGGCCTAACCCGGGAATTAATAGGGTTGGACTAAGATTTTTGAAGCCCATTTAAGAAAAGGGCTTTTTAGCGCGGCCTGAATAAGCCTGCTCATTTGGGGGCTTGAGAAATATTGGTAGGGCTGGCCCGTGGGCCAATAAAAATTAATTTAAAAATATAATATAATATTAAAATTTAAAAATAAAGAGAGTCCAAAATCAAAACAATTAGGTTAATATTTCTATTTAGATATTTATACTTTTAGTTGAAAAAAAACTTAATAAATATTAAGGAAAATGCACAAGTACCCTCTAGACTATGACCAAAATTTCAGAGACACGTCTTAACTAAACTAAGGACCTATTACCCCTTGAACTTTTTTTTTTTGTAATTTTATACACCTTTTGTCTTATGTGGCACTGTATGTGACTCCACGCAATTAAGATGCGTCAGAGATATTTGGATGCCACCTAAGCCAAAGAGGTATAAAAAATTACAAAAAAAAAAGTTTAGGGGATAATACGACCTTAATAAGGTGTGTCTTTGGAATTTCGGTCATAGTCTAGGGGGTACTTGTGCATTTTTCCTAAATATTATAAAGATAATTTTATTTGTGAATTTGATTAACAAGTAGTGATAAGGTCTCATTTGTTTCCATTAAGATTAAGATGTTTGAATTTGAATACACATTTAAATATTAAGATGTGCATTAAGATCTAGATGTGTAAATCTGAATAAACATGTGAATATTAAAATATTGTCTCTGAATATGAACACTAAATTATTGGAACAGTTTGTTTTCAATATCTGAATGCATATATGAAATTAAACGTTATATCAATAAAATATTATAAAAACCTTATAAGTAAAATAGTTTTTTTTCATATAAAATAATATTTTGAACATTTTTACCGTAACAAGGTAATATGATTTATCTTTTAAGAACTCAACATCAAGTTACATCATTAATATGACTATTTTTTGCACTCAAATACTTTGAGAATCTAATATAATACAATTTAAAATAGTTTATATAGAGTAGTAAATATATGGTTTAGGAAAATATTTTATTTTATTATGGAACTTTTTTATTGTTATGGATCAAATAACCAATAATTTCTTATTTTTTTAAATCGTGCTACATATTATATCATGGGAGTGCTTATCAATTCAAATATATTAATTAATTTAGAAAGTAAAAGATGTATATCAAGTTAATATGAATAAAGAAAATTATAACGGCAAGCATGTAATTAATATTAATTAAATTAGAAAATAATTTTTATGAGTTGTCGTGATTTAGTTGAATTATGATAGGAGTCTTATTTTTTAGTTTGAACAGTGTTAAGGATGTGTTACAGATCTGATTCATTCATATATATTCAAACCAATTAAGAGACTTCTAAGAAAATAAAACAAACAAACTTAATGAATCGAATCTGAATAATTAAGATCAGTTCTTAAAAACAAACACATTTAATGAGATAAATTTGAATGATTAAGATTCAAACCCCATTAAATACAAACAAATGACGCCTAACATAATGTAATATTATTTTGTCGATATTTATGATAATATTTTTAATTATAATTTATAATTTAATTTAATAATTATAAAAAATATTTTTTTAAAAAAAGTGAACTTGCCCACGTACTAGTGGAATGAACCAACTATTTTCTAGCCCACACAAAAAATGAACTAACCCAACCTGTGTCATAAAATATCAAAACCGTATAGAGTAGGCTAACCCATATTGACTAGCTCTACGACTCGTAATAATATATGATACTATAATTCCCTATACAGCGCCTCTCTTTTTTTTTTTTCTCGAAGAGAAGAGAAGAGAGGAACAAAAAAACAAGAATGGGTTCATTGAGTGGTGGAAATGGAAGTATATGGGGAATGGGATTTTTCCATTCTCAAGAATGGAATTCTGGAAGAAGAAGAAGGAGAAGTAATGGTGGAAAATCGTCAAATTCGGATTCAGTGGATGCAAATGGTGGAGCTGGTTATCGTTTTCCTCTGAAGCAAGCTATGACGGCTAGCTCTCTTGCACTTAGTGGTGACACCATTGCTCAGCTTCGTGACCGGTGGCTCAAGAACAAAGATAATCTTCCTGATCCATCTCATCCTAAGGTTAATTTTCTAAAAAAGATTGGAATTTGGTGAAATTTAAGGTTACTTATCTTGTAAAGTAACCAAATTTATTGGCTTTTGGAGTTGTGGGGTTTTTTGAAATATTGGTATTTCTTGAAACCCCACTTGGAATTCTTGAACTCATTTTGGGAATTTGGGGAACTATATAAAGGTCATGTTTGGCAGTTGTGATAATGTGAATTGTCTGTTTGTTAGTTCATGACTTGGTAAATTTGATTGCTTTTGATTTTTTATCTAACAATGAGTTAGGTTGAGAAACTCAGAGTAGGACAGATGTGCCAAATTTGAATACTTGACAGTGAAGTGAATAGAAAGTAGAGAGAAGGTTGGTTACATGGTACGAGAAGTTTGAATAGGGTGAAATTTATGTATCAAGAGCAGTATGAAGAGCTGATTAATATTCCGTGGTAAAAGAATAATTTTTTTAAGCAATTTATGTCAATGTGATCATAGTAAACGCGGAAGAGTTCATTCTGGCATAATTGCTGTTCTTTGATAATCATATAAAGTAAGTATTCCAAACCAATAATGATGTATCAGTTTGAAACCGATATTTATGATCTTACGAGGTAATTCGTGGGATTCAAATGAAAATGATTGAAAAAGAGGTTTGCCGTCTAACGAAATTTATGGTCTCAGGTGTCATTAGAATGTAATTATTGTCTGCAGAGTGTATCTGTATTGCACATAGATTCTTGTTGCTGTCCAAAAGGTAGTTCATATTCAGGGATAAAGTATTACCTCGAGGTGGTCCTTTTGTGGAAGCATGAGTGTGATGCCTCCCTGTGCTTTCAAGAACAACCAAGCAAAGTGGGAGGCAGGAATTAACACTGTCCGAGTATGTGCCTACTTCCACATATTTTGTTTCAGCATATATTCTGTTCAGTTCCAGTGGACCAACTTATTCCTAATCAATAGGCTCATTAGGCCTGTCTTTTTTTTTGCCCCTAGTGTATGTGCTTTTGGCTCTTAGCTATCCATATGTGTACTTAACTATGTTTTTTTTATGTCTTCTCACCGTAGTTGTCTGTCTTGAAAGAGGTTACGTATCCTCATTCTCTGACTCTGTTATTGACTAGACTTACATGACCCAAGGAATAATTTCATATGGTATGTAATTTTACCTTAAGTAACAAAATTAAAAAGCTTAAGAAAAGATTGTTTCAGAGACAACTTTAGACTCCCTTCAGCTGGTGCTTTACCTGCTTTAATCTCTTTTCGAAGATTAGTGTCCTGTCTATCACTAGTCTCCTTTGAGGTTTTCAAAACAGTATCTGCTGAGAATTTCCGGTTTTGAAGAGCATCATGCTAAGAACATGTTTTCATAAAATAGTTTACATGCACTCTAATGGTTAATCTCTTTGGCACATAGTGTTTGTGATTTAACCAGTCACATGTACTATATATGTGTCCCTTCTGTTTCCCCCCTTATCAGTAACAACACTTAAATTTCTAATTAGGTTATAGCCATTGATCCTCTATAGCCATCACTCTTCCAGTGATTAACTTGTTCCATTATTATTGACCTGCCTGTGTCTATTAACTTATCCATGCGGAGATATACAATATCGCATGCTTCCATAAAGAGAAAAGAATAGCCACGCAAAAAGAAATTCTAGATTTATTGCTTGTATTTGTGCTGTTGACACTACATACAATTAGAAAAAAGGAAAGAAATTACTTGCTAATCAGCTTGTTCTTTTGTTCTTTTGTGCATGTTGGGACTAGGGGGGGTCTAGAGTTTGCATATCCTTTGTATTTGATTATTTTATTCTCAGAAGGGAGGAGTGGGGGTTAATTAGGAAGTACTCTCTTGTACTCCTACCAGAGAAGAAGCAAATGGAGAAATCTTCTCCCGAGTGGTGCCTAGTGCTGCCCTCATCTACAGACCAAGGAAAAGGTCAATATTCCATCCACCTTTAGCACCCTCTCAAGCTTCACAACAAACGTTCCTTGATTGATCACTACACCACAAGCCAACTCCATTGGCATATTGGCAACCTTACAATCACTTGATCTATATATATTATGTACTTGTCTTTCTGTCAATTTTTGTTACCAATCAACCCCTTTTGGGAAATTTCATATTCTTTATGAACTAATTAAAACGGTGATCATTGGATTTTCTGTTCTTAAATATTATATCCAGCTTTAGGAGTTGATGCTAGTTGTACACTGAATTGATTCTCACATTTTGGCAATAGCTTATCTATATGTTTGCTAATACATCTTAACAGCTAAAGATTTTGCATGTCTTATGGCGTACTCAAAGAAAAGAAGAAGATTTTGCATGTTGTCTGCTCTCTCATAAAATGGCTTCTCTTTGCTATCTGATTCACTGAATTAAGAATGTATCTTGGGAGTATTTACACACTAATCTGAATTTTGTATTTGACCAAAATCTTGTTTTAGGATATGATTGGTGCACTCCTATCTGAGCATGACTGGCTTCGGTCAGTCCGGATGGCTTCATATGGATTTTTGTTATATGGTCCCGGTACTTATGCATGGTACTCATATCTTGACAGATGTATGCCCAAGCAAAGCGTGGAGAATGTAATGATGAAGGTAGTTATGCTTCTGAGAAGAACCTCTTTCATGATGAGCTTGACCTACCAATGAAGAAAGAACTACTTCTATGCAAGTTTGACCTGTCCATCTAACTAGTACCTTTAATACTCTTTGTTTCAGGTTTTATTAAACCAAATAGTGCTAGGTCCTTCTGTAATAGCTGTTATCTTTGCATGGAATAATTTATGGCTGGGAAAACTTTCAGAACTTCCAAACAAGTATCAGAAAGATGCCCTTCCAACTTTATTGTTCGGTAAGCACTTCCATATGACATACCTTTGCCGGTTGCTTTAACTCCTCCTCCCTAGTGAAGTTTGATTTCATCCTTCATTCTCTTTCAGGATTTAGGTTCTGGATCCCTGTCAGCATTTTGAACTTTTGGTATGTCTTTTACTACTCCTTAGCCCCTTCCCCAACCTCATCCCAAAATATGGACAGATATAAAACAAAAACTTCTCATAATCTCTGTTAGTCTTGTCGTAATGGAGATCTTCTCATTCTCGTAAAAATGTTTTTCCTGAGATCATAGATGTTATTTTTTCTGAGTCTTTAGTATAATGAAATATGACAACTTCTGTGTTGAAAAATGATAGGGCCATTCCTCTTCAAGCTCGTGTTGCATTCATGTCTATGGCCTCTATATTCTGGAATTTCTGTTTGTCAGCAACTATGAGCAAGTAACTACCGTCCAAAGGATTAGCTGGGAAGAGCAGGTTCGTGCACACTCCTAGTCCAGTATTTGAGTTTTAGTATATCTCATGTCACGTATTAATATTAATCTGCTAATTTTAGGATCCCGCAACTGATATAACCGCCTATCAAGACAGAGAAAATGATGTCTGGAGGCAACAGTTGAAACCATTCTGATTTTCCAAAAGTGGCTTGCACCAGGTTCTACAGTGCCTCAGCTCGCACTAACTACATATGATTTGTTTAGAATATAGTTTCCTTTAGTTTCCTAGTGCTATAACGAAAGACATATGTTTGGCTTGTTCGACCAATTCTTCCGTTGATTTGCTTTCTTTTGTCTGGTTTTTGGCATTCTTTTCCCTGTCTACACAATTTATAAACAAGTGCTGCTACATTATATATACGAAATCATCATGTTAAAATTCTTGTGTTGGTAGAGTGTGTTATTATTATATCTTTGATAAGCATGATGTCAAAGTCATATGTATCGGTTACGACTCAATTTTAAACTAGTTGAGCTCGACTATGTGAATCCTCCATGCCTTCCACTCTCCTCTAGCTTCCGTTCTTTAGAATTTGATTCCTTTCTCACTTATGACGGTTCTGCTTCTGCAATTCCAAATGATCGAAACTGTGTAAAAACGAGTAGACAGTGAAAGACAGGAACTGTCATCCGTTGATCTTGCTGCACTGGAAAGTCACTTAAGGGTGTGTTTGGTATGGAGGAAAATGGAACATGCAGAAATAAGTTGGTTTCTTATTTATTTTTCTGGTGTTTGCCTCCGTCCATCTTTAATTGTCTAATATACTCTTTTGGGATGTACAATCATATTTGTCAAAATTTATAAACATAATTTATCATTTTGTGTCTACTTTACTATTGTCCATTTTTGGCAACACTTGACATGTTTAAGACCACAAAATTAAAGGGCATTTTGTTATATTTGGCATAACTTTCATTTAGAACCACAAGAATTGAAAGTCTTATTTTTTTTTTCTTAAAATTCCGTTCCAAGTCAAACTAGGTCATTTTTTTTTAAACGGAGGGAGTAGTTAATAAGGGTGAATTAGGAACTAGGTGATAAACTATTCATTGATTTTTCATACTCCCTCCGTCCACAAATGTTTGGCAGGTATACTAAAAATAGATGTCCAAAATTATTTAGCAATTTAAACAATCAAGAAATCATTAGTTATATTTTAATAATTTTGCCCTTAATTACTACTCCATTTTGTTTACTTGAAAAGTTATATAGATTTTTGATATTCTTACTTATATTAGTCAAACTACACATTATATTAAATTTTTCTTCAGGGCAGTGCATGACCTACAAACAATTGTGGACGAAGGGAGAAGTACTACATAAACAAAAACGAGCATTTCTTAAAAAAAAATATTTTTCAAAAATTTTGATCGACGATAAAATTTAAGAATGTTTTCCTCCGTATCAAACACACCCCATGTTAAATGATAAAAAGCATCTATCTCCAGATCTAAGTCACTTATACCAACTACACAACACACGGCCAAGAACATGATTCTTTGCTTCTCTATTACTTTAATCTGTCACATACAAGCAAGCACCTTTTGATTGAGAAAAAGAATAACATTTCACCTCAACACACAGTATTATAGTAGTAAATTAAAGAGAAACTCAAAAAGCTGCTATATATCAAACATGTTGTGCCATTAATTCTCCCAAAACTAAAATAAGAACACAGAAAAATTTACAAACATGAACAGCAACAGGCCTCATAATTTTACACAACATGGAAATTGGAGCAATGGAGAGTGGCATGATCCTAATTCACATGGACCTGAGTACATATGGCAACCTATTATCCCTCGTCCTCCGCCTCCACGAGATATCCCTCAGGTATTCTCAACATGATACATAGATATACATGTTAGTTCAGTACTGAAATCTTTAAATCATGAATCCGACTCTAAAATTTTGTGTTGCACAGAATCCTAGACGTGTCGTTCATGATCCACCGTTGCAAGTAACAGAGAGACCATTTCTAGTACCTACTGGTGCAACAAGGTAAGCATTTCTTCTATCTTTTTTTCTTTTTTTTTGTCAGAATCCAAGATTTGATCATTTCAAGAACTACTTGCAGTTATCCATATCCAGGCCAACCACGACGTAGGCTAACTCATCCTCCTGTTCGCGTTCTACTCCATAACGATGATGTACCAAGACATGGATCATATCAGAGACCAAGCCAACTTCCATTCGATTCTCCTCCTCCTCCGTGGTTTATGCAGAGCAATGAAACGTCGAGGAATGAATCAAAATTGAGCCCAAATGAGCAAAAGGCAGCCTTAAATAAACTCAAGAAAGAAATCTACAATCCTGTACAAGCAAAAGTGGCAAAACAAGTGAACCTTTACTTTAGAGGCTTGAACAATACTACCACCAACGAATCGATCAAGGACAAAGATGAGGATGGTAAAAGATGTTCGATTTGCTTGGAAGATTTCGAGCCTAAAGAGATTGTGACAGTCACACCATGTAGTCATATGTTCCACGAAGACTGCATCGTTCCATGGGTGACAAATCATGGCTCGTGCCCTGTCTGTCGATTTGCTATCTGTGAAAGAATGAAACAGGACACAACAGACTCATCGACGACAAGGACTAGTAGAGCTACAAACACAATGCCACCACATGAATTGATGATGGAAAGGGACCTGATTACTATAATGAGAGCATTTGATGAAACTTTTGAATTGGATCAAATTAGATCCTTTCTCCTACCAAGATTAACAAGAGGTTAAGTGTATGTTGCTTAAGCTATTAAGCTAATGTAATTTTCCTTTGATTTATTCACTTTCTGTTGAAGCAGATAATACTTGTATGAATACACAATGACAACATGACTTGAATAAAAAAAAATTGTCTCTTTCACAACTTGATGTATGATAAGGTGTAGATTCTACTATAAGTGGACATTTGTCTAAGATATATTTAACTACTCCCTCCGCTTTAAATGTGGCGTTTTTCGAATTTCGAGATTCAAATTAATCTTACTTGAATCATAATTTTCTCATATATCTTGAATTACGAATAGTTGTAACTTTTATGTAGTTTTATCTTGAGTTGCTTATATGTAAAAGCAAGTTGTTCATCAAAAGTAACAAAACCTAATCCATTTAGGATGACTAATTTCCAATTAAAGGTCTTGTTCATATATAGTCTAAACTTTTTCATTGAATCATAATAATTAAATTATAAAGCTACCGAACTTTTTAAAAAAATCATCCTACTCTTAATTTAACTCTTCTGGATTTAAGATTTGAAATTTAGAAATAGTGATTTTATCTTTTGAGTTACTAAGTTTCAAATTAGTGATAATTTTGTAAATATTTAATATATATTTTTCTATAACAAATACAAGATCTAAATCAACGATATTCAATTTTACAATCAACATAAATATTACATCTAAACTAACAACACTAAAAAGAGAAAATTACAAAAGTTATTGTTGTCACTTACCTCCTTCGTTTGTTAATCACGAAAAGACTCATTTTGTATAACGACTGATTTTATATGATTGTGTTATTACCTTGATGGGTTTTTTTTTGAGGAAATGCATAAGTACCCCCTCAACCTATGCCCAAAATTCCAGAAACACACTTATACTATACTAAGGTCCTATTACTCCCTGAACTTATTTTATAAGTAATTTTCTACCCTTTTCGGCCTACGTGACACTTGAAAGAAAAAGTCAATCAGCGTTGGGCCCACAAGATAGTGCCACATAGGCTGAAAAGGGGTAGAAAATTACTTATAAAATAAGTTCAGGGGCTTATAAGACCTTAGTATAGTATAAGTGTGTCTCTGAGATTCCGGACATAGATTGAGGGATTACTTGTGTATTATCTCTTTTCTTTTCATAGTAATTGTACCACATATCCTAATATTTCTTATAGATCTATCTGTCAAATTATGTATATGTGATAATATATAACGAAGAAAAATACAATCTATTCAAACATTATTTTATTTAAATAACACAATATAATACCATATATTATGAAATAAGATATAACAACCCGCAAAATAAAGTGGTAAGCTACTTGTATGGCTATGATAAAACCACCAAAGGCAAGAAATAGAAGCAATTTGACTAAATTAGTGACCACTCAGTTGATGAAAATCGGCCATGAAAATCCAAAAAAATTCTCAGAAAATATATCTCAGAATCATCCATTGACATAAAGCCACGTACACAAATCCCAAACCACATCTGTTCCCTCTAAATTAACCTTACAACTCATCTTCTTCTTCATCATCATCATCTTCTTCCTTTCTGTTACGGAGTTATCTTTCCTCTGTCAACTTTATCAGGTACTTTCTCTTAACTCTTCTACTACTAACAGACTTGTATTTGAATGGTTTAGCTCTTAATTTGAAGTTACTAGCTGTACTTTTATGTTTGGCTCACAAGGTGTTTGTTATAATGCCTCAATGAATGATCCTTTACCTGTAGGCTGTAGTTGGCGTATGAAAAAGATATACCCACATCGAGATTTGGTTTAGTTTGCTCTTTTACCCTCCAACCCAACCCCCCAACACGCAAAAATTTGACTTGTTGGCGCGAATCTGGATTGGTCGGGGTTGAAGTGGGTACCGGATAGTGGGTGGGAAACCAAAAAGAACAGAGATTTGGCTTAGTTTCTTGAATTGGGGAAAAGGGGATTTTTTTTACTTTAAGGTTGGTTTTTTATTTGAATTTTTGACATAACAAAGCTTGTGTTTACTTGTCTCACTTTGATATCTTGGGTAATGATGAGGGAAGCGATACCCAGGTGCCAAGCTAACATTTTTCTAGTGCAAATGTTGTAATTGGAAATAACTGAAGGTTTAAAATGAGTAATTTTTACGTTAGGATGGGTCTCCTTCACTCTCTTGCAAATGGCACAATTTGAAATTGAAAGAAGCATTCGGAATCATGTCTCTTTTTAATTAGTCTATATACATGGTAAACCAATAGAGTACAGATGTGTGTAAATATCGTTACGTATGCTGGCAGTTCCTTATTAGTTTTTCGTGTATGAATAACCCATACGTATATCAGATCTGTTTGATACAGGTATTCTAAAAGTAAATCATCCATGTAGTATAGGTTAACTTCAAAAATCAATTGTGAAGCATTTACATGCCATCAATAAAGGGAAACTAAGAGTTCTTTTTGATAGATGAAATAAGCTTAAAATGGGTTGCGGAATTGTCATCATTGAGATCAGTGCTACTTGAGATGAAGAATACAAAAGGGAAAAAGTTGTCATCCCAGTATTTTCCCAATAAATTTAAAAGTGATTCAAATGGGCACGATGCCAGTCCTTTGCCTGATTGATTTATTTCCTTGCAACTTGCAGTTATCAACTTTATCATTTCTCCTTTGCAGAATTATCATTAGAAGTGAACTGTGCAGGTTCTTGCTTCTTTTCTGAGCGTATCAACATGGCGACTTCATCAGTATGCATAGCAGGAAATGATTTGTCCACCCATAGAACACAGAAAGTTTTTAGGAAGGAGATCTATGGCAGAAAAATTTTGTACTCCTCAAATCTTCCATCATCTAGGAAAACATCAAGAGTAGTTGTAAAAGCATCCCTTCAGCAAGGGCCACATGAAGGAAGAAGAGGCTTTCTTAAATTATTGCTTGGAAATGTTGGGCTTGGAGTGCCTGCTTTGTTAGGTAATGGGAAAGCCTATGCTGATGAGCAAGGTGTTTCTAACTCAAGGATGTCTTATTCTAGATTTTTGGAGTATCTGGACAAGGACAGGGTGCAAAAAGTAGATCTGTTTGAAAATGGAACCATAGCTATTGTAGAAGCTGTATCTCCAGAATTGGGGAACCGAGTGCAAAGAGTTAGGGTACAACTACCTGGACTCAGCCAGGAACTCCTTCAAAAGTTCCGGGAAAAGAACATTGATTTCGCTGCTCACAATGCTCAAGAGGACTCAGGTTCTCTCATATTCAACTTGATTGGAAATCTGGCTTTCCCACTTATTTTGATTGGTGGTCTTTTCCTGCTATCAAGGCGGTCTAACGGAGGAATGGGAGGTCCTGGTGGGCCTGGAAACCCACTAGCATTTGGTCAATCAAAGGCTAAGTTCCAAATGGAGCCAAACACTGGTGTGACATTTGATGATGTTGCTGGTGTAGATGAAGCAAAACAAGATTTTATGGAGGTCGTAGAATTTTTGAAGAAACCTGAGAGATTTACTGCAGTAGGGGCTCGTATTCCAAAAGGTGTTCTTCTTGTTGGTCCTCCTGGTACTGGGAAAACCTTGCTAGCAAAGGCAATTGCTGGTGAAGCGGGTGTTCCATTTTTCTCAATTTCAGGTTCAGAATTCGTTGAGATGTTTGTTGGTGTTGGAGCCTCTCGAGTCCGTGATCTTTTCAAGAAGGCCAAGGAAAATGCTCCTTGCATTGTATTTGTTGATGAAATTGATGCTGTTGGGCGGCAAAGAGGGACTGGAATTGGAGGAGGAAATGATGAAAGGGAACAGACCCTGAACCAACTATTGACTGAAATGGATGGTTTCGAAGGAAATACTGGTATAATAGTTGTTGCGGCAACCAATCGTGCAGATATTCTTGACTCTGCTTTGCTGAGGCCAGGACGATTTGATAGACAAGTAAGCATCTGTCCTTGCCTCCGTTATTTAACTGTGACTTTTGCAAGAAACTAAAATTTACCGCTCTTATGTAGGTATCCGTGGATGTCCCAGACATCAAGGGAAGAACAGAGATCTTAAAGGTTCATGCCGGCAACAAGAAGTTTGATTCAGATGTGTCTCTTGAAGTTATTGCCATGAGGACACCGGGTTTCAGTGGAGCAGATCTTGCTAACCTCTTAAATGAAGCAGCCATTCTTGCAGGTCGACGTGGTAAGACAGCAATCGCATCCAAAGAGATTGATGATTCAATTGATAGGATAGTGGCTGGTATGGAAGGAACAGTCATGACTGATGGCAAGAGCAAGAGTCTGGTGGCATATCACGAAGTTGGACATGCCATCTGTGGGTGAGTGCTGCACCATTAGCTAGTTACTCCTGGCTCCTGATTTGCATCTATTATATAAGCATTTTTTATAACAATATTATGAGTTTATTATTGTGTTGGCATTTTAATTACCCAACAGTGATTTCAACAGAATATCCTGGTGAGCCTCTAATGGCACTATGTGTTCTTTGCCATGCAGAACTCTCACTCCAGGGCATGATGCTGTACAAAAGGTCACTCTAATCCCACGTGGTCAGGCAAAAGGTTTGACCTGGTTCATTCCTGCAGATGACCCAACCTTAATATCCAAGCAACAACTCTTTGCTAGAATTGTTGGTGGACTTGGTGGAAGAGCTGCAGAAGAAGTGATCTTTGGTGAACCTGAAGTGACCACTGGTGCTGCTGGTGATTTGCAGCAGATCACTGGTTTGGCAAAACAGGTATATATGCTCACTGCCTTTTTTGTGTTAAGGATTCTGGAACGGAATATATGTTGAGGTAATCTGTGGAGACTAGAAATTCTACAGAGTGATTGGTTTTGAATTAACCTCTACTTCCCGTTTCCTTCAAAAGATTATAGAGATAAGAGCAATACAATTATTCCCTCTGTTTCAATTTATGTGGTTTTGTTTGAAAAGATTTTTGGGTTTGTGATCTTAAACATGCCATGAAACTTCTGTGGCTATAAAGTTAAAATTGTTTTCAAATATAGAAACGTTAACATTCATTTTGGATAAGACTAACAACAGCATAGTGTCACATTATTGGAAAGGAGCGAGTAGTTTTATCTTCTTTTTGACTTAGTTCTGTAAAATGACAAACTGTTCATGCAGATGGTTGTCACTTTTGGTATGTCTGAACTTGGCCCGTGGTCCCTCATGGATTCTTCAGCCCAAAGTGGTGATGTAATCATGAGAATGATGGCCAGGAACTCGATGTCAGAAAAGCTAGCTGAAGACATTGATGTTGCTGTGAAGAAGCTTTCAGACAGTGCATATGAGATTGCATTGAGCCAAATCCGCAGCAACCGTGAAGCAATTGATAAGATTGTGGAAGTCCTCCTTGAAAAGGAGACGATGACTGGAGATGAATTCCGTGCTATTCTCTCAGAATTTGTTGAAATTCCTGCTGAAAACCGCGTCCCTGCTGCTGTTCCTACCCCAGCAGCTGTATAATAGCTTGAACATATACTGCAACTTGTACAATTCACATACACTTATCCCCCTAATTTGATCTAGAGTATAAACAATATATAGACTATAAGAAAGTTAAAAAACACTTTTGTGCATTTGTGTATGAAGCAAATTTTCACATTTGATATAGAACTAGTCTTTTCTTCACTGTAATGCTACGAGTTGTTTCCCTTGCTTTGAGCATTACTCAGTGCTCAAACTCCTTGTCACGACCCAATTCATCGAATGATTTAGTTTAAACATCAGGTACAAAACACGTGCTTGTTAACGAGTGGAAATAATATCTAGCCATAGAAGTTCAAACAATGATCTTTGCTTAAATAACGATCGAATTTAGTGTTTATTTTTCTTAGTCGATATACAAAATTATACTATTATATATATTACGATGATTTTAAGTGATTATGTGGAGCTGCTATTTATGTTAATTCTTTTTAGATCAATAGACAACTTATAAAGCTATGCCAAAAATAAGCTCAAATGAATGGGACAGTCTTGTTTGAGACCTCTGAGATTTCTTCCCCTCCGATCAGCAAACACTCGCCGGTTCTCGGCAGCCGGCACTGAGCTTTCAATTCTATGTTCTCAAGGTTACGTAAAAGAAGCTTTCAACAAGTTCTCTTTCTTAATATGGGACAACCCATCGCATTTCTCTTACCTTTTACAAGCATGCATCCAAGAAAAGTCCTTTTTCCTAACCAAACAGCTGCATTCTCTCATAGTAACATCTGGGTGTTTCAGGGACAAGTTTGTTTCCAATCACCTGCTCAATGCTTACTCAAAATTGGGTCAGCTAGATATTGCAGTTACACTGTTTGATAAATTGCCTAAAAGAAATGTAATGTCTTTTAACATTTTGATTGGTGGGTATGTTCAAATTGGCGATTTGGATAGTGCCTCTAAGGTGTTTGATGAAATGGGTGAGAGAAATTTGGCTTCTTGGAATGCAATGATTACTGGGTTGACTCAGTTTGAGTTTAATGAGAGGGCGTTGAGTTTGTTTGCGCGAATGTATGGGTTGGGTTACTTGCCTGATGCATTTACTCTTGGAAGTGTTTTAAGAGGTTGTGCTGGTTTGAAGGATTTGAATAAGGGCAGGCAGGTTCATGGTTGTGGATTGAAATTGGGTTTAGAGGGGGATTTTGTTGTTGCAAGTTCATTGGCACACATGTATATGAGGTCTGGTAGCTTAAGCGAGGGAGAGATTGTGATCATGTCGATGCCAGATCAAACTATGGCAGCTTGGAATACTCTTATTGCTGGTAGGGCTCAGAATGGGTGTTTTGAAGGTGCATTGGAGCTGTATAATTTGGTGAAAATCGCCGGGTTTAGACCAGATAAGATAACGTTTGTTAGCGTGATCAGCTCGTGTTCAGAGCTGGCTACAATAGGACAGGGGCAGCAGATTCATTCTGACGTTATAAAAACTGGTGTAATTTCTGTGGTTGCAGTTGTAAGTTCCTTGATTAGCATGTATTCAAAATGTGGATGTTTGGATGAGGCTGAGAAGATTTTTGAGGAAAGGAAGGAAGCTGATCTTGTTTTGTGGAGTGCTATGATTTCTGCTTATGGGTTTCATGGTAGGGGAAAGAACGCAGTTGAGTTGTTTCATCGTATGGAGCAAGAAGGACTAGCACCTAACCATATAACTCTCTTGAGTTTGCTCTATGCCTGTAGTCATAGTGGGATGAAGGATGAAGGGCTTGAATTTTTCGACTTGATGGTGGAGAAGTACAATGTAGAACCTCAACTGGTGCACTATACATGTGTCGTTGACCTCCTAGGAAGAGCAGGCCGTTTGCAGGAGGCTGAAGCTCTTATTAGATCTATGCCTGTGAAGCCAGACGGTGTCATATGGAAGACATTGCTATCGGCCTGTAAAATTCATAAAAATGCAGATATGGCTAGAAGTATAGCTGAAGAAGTTTTGAGGATTGACCCTCAGGATTCAGCTTCATATGTGCTCCTTGCTAATGTTCAAGCATCTGCTAAAAGATGGAAGAGTGTTTCTGAAGTGAGGAAATCAATGAAGGATAGGGGAGTAAAGAAAGAACCAGGAATAAGCTGGCTGGAGTTGAAGAACCAGGTTCACCACTTCATTATTGGTGATAAATCTCATCCACAATCGGACGAGGTTGATGTATACTTAAAGGAATTGATTGCAGAACTGAAGTTAGAAGGCTATGTTCCTGATACAGGATCTGTTTTGCATGATATGGAATTAGAGGAAAAAGAGTATAACTTGGTCCATCACAGTGAAAAATTAGCCATTGCTTTCGCGCTGATGAACACCCCGGAGGGTTTTCCAATTAGGATAATGAAGAATTTACGAATTTGTAGTGATTGTCACATGGCTATCAAGTACATATCCAAGATGAAAAAACGAGAGATAATTGTACGTGATTCCAGTAGGTTTCATCACTTCAAAGAGGGATGTTGTTCTTGTGGAGATTATTGGTGAGGATGTTGCATTTGACAATCATACTGCTGGTAATAGTTATTCACTCAGAGTCATGTTTTAGAACCATTATTTCCTCCATTACTTGTAACATTATTCAAAACTTGAAAGAGATTCAATAAATTTCCATTCATATTGAAAGGCCAATAACTTTAAGTATATTCTCTAACTTTGGAAACAGCCTCACAAGGGGTAAGGCTTGCGTATAAGTTTTCCTACTGTAGTGCTTCTAATTCCAGCACTGTATTTTGTACTGCCTTAGTGCTAGTATTTGCAGTAAAATTACTAACAGAACAAGACTCTAATGGATAAAGGATTCACTCGACAGGACTGGTAGCCAAGTGCTGGTAATGGATACTTAGAATTTAGAACATGATAAACTTGGTATCAGAGCCCTTTACATTTAGAAAATCCTAGACTCTGAAAACTAAATATTTTTGCATCAACTTATATCCACACAATGCATTTGATAGGACCATAAAAGAGCAGAAAAATCTTCTCAATTCACATCATTAACCATATACTGTACAGCAAGAAGACTACCAAAACCATGAACTCAATCCAACATAGTAGATGCTTATTGCTAGTCACAGCCATGCCCACTGACACCATGCTAATCTAAACTAGGTCCACATGCGACCAACTTTAAAACAAAGAACTTCAATATACTACCAATTCAAGTACCAAGCAGCCACAAAGCAGTCTTCAGTTAAAGCTTTGCCACCACAATTGGTGTAAACAAACCGAACAACGAGAACTTCATTTAGTTCCAGCATAATTCAGGTATGATCAAATCTTCCATCTGTACTGATCTCTGCCTCATTTGGTTTTACAGAAACCATGTCTAACATCTTTGGCTCGTCCCTTCCCTCTTGTTGTAGTTCTCTGATTCGGCACAAATGATAGTCGCCCTCCAGCACTTGATGATTTCTTTTCAAGAAGTCTTAAGAATGTGCATTCAATTCTATGTTTCTCCCCTTCTCAGAGATATATTACATACAGGCTAATGATAAAAGAATAGAACAATCAGAAAGGAAAGAATGATTGAACAGAATTTGAGATTCCACCGTCTTAAACCTCGAAACCGAACTCAAATGGACAATGTGCCATCTTCAGACCTGGAATATACATTCAATAGAGAAGGTAACCGAAGCAAACAAAACATCTGGTAGCTACATTCAGTCGGAGTCCGCAGGTTCATCGTCATCAGAAGTCACTGGAGTATCAGTGGCATCAGCAAGGGAGTCTAGCATAAGCACCACCTCAGATGTGTCATCCAAGTAATACTTTGCTTTGCTAGGTTTTTGTCCAACTGTGCAAGCAAATACCTTGGCATCATATGAAATAATATTTCTGGACAAAGCATCGCCAATGATTTCAAACATATCTTCATCTGATCTATCATCACCAATGCAAAGCACAAAATCCGCCAGTTTTCCTTTCTCCGCTAAAGATGTAAAGACTTTTTCTGCAACTAAACCTTTGGTGACCCCCTGAAAAAGAGAAAATTAATGTCATTCGGAACACATACTAGGATGTTGACTGCAATCAACACTAAAATACACGTCAAAAAGCATTAAACGAAAACGATATATTCAAGATACTCAAGAATTTGACAATAGCAATCAGAACAGTGAAAAAGAATACACTACTATTGTTGTTAAAATTATTACGTTAACATCATCTTTATCTAGAGAGGAAATATATGCCAGGTAGTCACTTGTCACTAGCAAAGAAATTGCAGCTCTCAACCAATTACTTGAGTAAATACTAAAGGCTCTTTAGCTCGCAAATAACCTACGCATGGATTAATGGCACATCAATTAAAAAATAACGTTTTATTTTCTTTGACGATGGATGTATTGACGTAGCACATACAAAGGGAGGTGCTTTGGTGCATGTTATTTGGAGATGACATAGTACTTGTTGACAAGACGGGGAGTTAACGACAGGCTAGAGGTCTGGAGACAGATCATGGAGTCTAAAGGTTTTGGATTGAGTAGAAATAAGGCAAAGTACGTGGAGTGCAAATTCAGTGTTGTGACACGCAAAGGTAATGTGGAAACGAGGTTGGATTCTCAAGCCATCTCCACGAGAGGGAGTTTCAAGTACCTTGGGAGTTGGGGCTATTATCCAAGATAATGGGGAGATTGATGAGAATGTCGCAGATAGCATTATAGGTGGTAGTTGAAATAAACGGCTAGCATCTGGTGTGTTTTGTGATAAGGTGACACCAAAAGTTGAAAGTAACTTAAAACATTGTTGTATGGGGCGGAGTGTTGTTGCTAGTCAAGACTCCCATGTGCAGAAGATGAAAATTGTAGAGATGAGGATGTTGAGATGGATGGGTGGGTGGGCTTACTTAAGAGAGATATGGTCAAAATGAAGATATTTGGAAAAAAGTGGGAGTGGCCTCCATGTCGGACAAGATGCGGGAGGCAAGGCTGAAATGGCTAAGAGTATGTCAAGAGGAGTTCCACAAGACACACTAGTGAGGATGTATGAGAGGCTGATGTTACGACTAGAGGAGAGGTAGAGTAAGGTAGGCCAAAGAAGTATTGGGGAGAGGAGTTTAGGCAGGACATGGCAAGTCTTCAGCTTACACCAAGGGTCATGGACATGACCCTAGATAGGAGGGTGTAGAGGTCGAGAATTAGGGTATAAGACTATAGTAGGTAGCCTTGCATTCTGTTTT